CTGCACTGCAATTTTAATTTAGAGGGGGGATTTTTCTTAACATTAAGGATCCCAATTTCGATTAAACATTTTAATGTTTAAACGTTCACACCGGTGAGCATCAATATAATCCAAAAGCACAGTTTAGGAGGTCATAAAGAAACAGGGACCTGCCGACAGCGTTTCCCCAGACAGACTGTGGTTGGAACAGATCCAGTGCTTGTCAGTACAGAACAGCAGGCAACAACTGAAGCAGAGTTCTGCTTAGCCTTGCAAGGCCCCATGACAGATACACACAGACAGACACAAAGGAGAAAGGGACAAATGGAGGGACAGACAGACAGACAGACAGACAGACAGACAGACAGACAGACAGACAGACAGACAGACAGACAGACAGGCAGACAGACAGACAGACAGACAGACAGACAGACAGACAGACAGACAGACAGACAGACAGACAGACAGACAGACAGACAGACAGACAGACAGACAGACAGACAGACAGACAGACAGACATGCAAACAGACATGCAGGCAGGAAGGCAGACACCCCTTAGGAAGCATGAGACACCTCTGTACCCAGCTCACCCCTGAGGAGACAGACACCCCTTAGGAAGCATGAGACACCTCTGTACCCAGCTCACCCCAGAGGAGGCAGACACCCCCAGAGGAGGCAGACACCTCTGTACCCAGCTCACCCCAGAGGAGGCAGACACCTCTGTACCCAGCTCACCCCAGAGGAGGCAGACACCTCTGTACCCAGCTCACCCCAGAGGAGGCAGACACCCCCAGAGGAGGCAGACACCTCTGTACCCAGCTCACCCCAGAGGAGGCAGACACCTCTGTACCCAGCTCACCCCAGAGGAGGCAGACACCTCTGTACCCAGCTCACCCCTGAGGAGCCAGACACCTCTGTACCCAGGAGGAGGTTAGAGCCAGAGGTAGGACACCAAGTTAGCACCAGTCTGTAGTACAGAACGACGTGTGGCTTATTACTGGAGAGGGAAAGAGATCCTCCTGGATGTTCAATTACTGTTTCCTCATTATCACTCTCAGGACTGGCTCTGGGAGAAACATCGTTCTCAGGACTGGCTCTGGGAGAAACATCGTTCTCAGGACTGGCTCTGGGAGAAACATCGTTCTCAGGACTGGCTCTGGGAGAAACATCGTTCTCAGGACTGGCTCTGGGAGAAACATCTTTCTCAGGACTGGCTCTGGGAGAAACATCGTTTTCAGGACTGTCGGTTCCTGATTGTATTAGACAAGTCTGTATGAGACAGAGTATAGACCAGATGAATGTTCAAATAGACAGATGTTCTCTATTATTCATACAGGTTAGCTTGGCAGCCTGCTGGACAACGTAAAGTCGGGAAGCTGCTATGTTGTTCTTGATCACTGAATAGCTTCTCAGTGGTATGTAAATGAACAGCTCTGTTCTGTAAGACATGCATTCTTTTATCCAACCAATGTTACTCATTTAAACTGTTGCGGTTTTCATTTACATTTATCAGATCAAGTAAATAACAACAAAAACAAATGTTACTGTGTCGGCAAAGCTGTCACCAAGGCAACGGGCGGCTATTTGAAGAATCTCAAATATTTTGATTTGTTTAACACTTTTTTGGTTACTACATGATTCCATATGTGTTATTTCATAGTTTTGATGTCTTCACTATTATTCTACAATGTAGAAAATAGTAAAAATAAAGAAAAACCCTGGAATGAGTAGGTGTGTCCAACCTTTGACTGGTACTGTATATCTAAAAATAAATTAATGAATCATGAAGAGAGAGATGCAGTATCCTCAATCCTGACAAACAGATCAAACAAGAACAAAGTTACGGAGAACAAAGGTTGTTGTAATAACAGACAGGAGTGATGGAGGTGTTGTTGTAGTAACAGACAGGAGTGACGGAGGTGTTGTTGTAGTAACAGACAGGAGTGATGGAGGTGTTGTTGTAGTAACAGACAGGAGTGATGGAGGTGTTGTTGTAGTAACAGACAGGAGTGACGGAGGTGTTGTTGTAGTAACAGACAGGAGTGATGGAGGTGTTGTTGTAGTAACAGACAGGAGTGACAGAGGTGTTGTTGTAGTAACAGACATGAGTGACGGAGGTGTTGTTGTAGTAACAGACAGGAGTGATGGAGGTGTTCTTGTAGTAACAGACAGGAGTGACGGAGGTGTTGTTGTAGTAACAGACAGGAGTGATGGAGGTGTTGTTGTAGTAACAGACAGGAGTGACGGAGGTGTTGTTGTAGTAACAGACAGGAGTGATGGAGGTGTTGTTGTAGTAACAGACAGGAGTGATGGAGGTGTTGTTGTAGTAACAGACAGGAGTAATGGAGGTGTTGTTGTAATAACAGACAGGAGTGATGGAGGTGTTGTTGTAGTAACAGACAGGAGTGATGGAGGTGTTGTTGTAGTAACAGACAGGAGTGACAGAGGTGTTGTTGTAGTAACAGACAGGAGTGACGGAGGTGTTGTTGTAATAACAGACAGGAGTGATGGAGGTGTTGTTGTAATAACAGACAGGAGTGATGGAGGTGTTGTTGTAGTAACAGACAGGAGTGACGGAGGTGTTGTTGTAGTAACAGACAGGAGTGACGGAGGTGTTGTTGTAGTAACAGACAGGAGTGATGGAGGTGTTGTTGTAATAACAGACAGGAGTGATGGAGGTGTTGTTGTAGTAACAGACAGGAGTGATGGAGGTGTTGTTGTAGTAACAGACAGGAGTGATGGAGGTGTTGTTGTAGTAACAGACAGGAGTGATGGAGGTGTTGTTGTAGTAACAGACAGGAGTGATGGAGGTGTTGTTGTAGTAACAGACAGGAGTGACGGAGGTGTTGTTGTAGTAACAGACAGGAGTGATGGAGGTGTTGTTGTAGTAACAGACAGGAGTGACGGAGGTGTTGTTGTAGTAACAGACAGGAGTGATGGAGGTGTTGTTGTAATAACAGACAGGAGTGACGGAGGTGTTGTTGTAGTAACAGACAGGAGTGATGGAGGTGTTGTTGTAGTAACAGACAGGAGTGATGGAGGTGTTGTTGTAGTAACAGACAGGAGTGATTGAGGTGTTGTTGTAGTAACAGACAGGAGTGACGGAGGTGTTGTTGTAGTAACAGACAGGAGTGATGGAGGTGTTGTTGTAGTAACAGACAGGAGTGATGGAGGTGTTGTTGTAGTAACAGACAGGAGTGATGGAGGTGTTGTTGTAGTAACAGACAGGAGTGATGGAGGTGTTGTTGTAGTAACAGACAGGAGTGACGGAGGTGTTGTTGTAGTAACAGACAGGAGTGATGGAGGTGTTGCTGTAATAACAGACAGGAGTGATGGAGGTGTTGTTGTAGTAACAGACAGGAGTGACAGAGGTGTTGTTGTAGTAACAGACAGGAGTGACGGAGGTGTTGTTGTAGTAACAGACAGGAGTGACGGAGGTGTTGTTGTAGTAACAGACAGGAGTGATGGAGGTGTTGTTGTAGTAACAGACAGGAGTGATGGAGGTGTTGTTGTAGTAACAGACAGGAGTGATGGAGGGAGGTACTTATGCTATAAGACATCCATAAGCTTAGCAAAGAGGCGTATTCCTCCTGAGCCCAGATTACATAACACAGCATTCATTACCATCCCTTAATAATGAATGTTATTTTCTAATTTGACAATCACATGTCTGCCAGTTAACCAAGAGAGGTGACAGAAACAAGTCTCATTGTTGGTGACATGACCTTGGGTTTGAGATTCACTAGCTAGGATTTACAGAGAAACTGGGCTTCAGTTCAATCTGTTGGCCGGGTGTGGTTCCCAATCAGAGGCAGCTGTCTATCGTTGTCTCTGATTGGGGATCATACTTAGGCAGCCATTTTGCCTACCTTTAGTTGTGGGATCTTGTTTCTGTTTGGCTTGTTGGATGTTTATCCTTTTGAACTTCACGTTCTGTTGCTTTGTGAAGTGTTTATTATTATCATTAAACATGTACGCATACCCACGCTGCACCTTGGTCCAATCCTTTACTCAACGAACGTGACAGATGTCCACAGATTAACCCATGTTTCCCAGTATCATTCCATTCTGATCTGAACTCCAAAAAAAGGTGCTGGTGCATTGATAAACAGACCATTAATGATAATTAATAAAACAGACGGCACTTCTAAAAGCCTATTCCACACCATAGCCTGCTGAATTTGCCAGATCACTTTTCTTTCATTTTGATTTCGGCACAAATGAAAATGTGACACTGACTCACCCATGGATTGATGTTTCAGCGCTGTCTCAATGAAGAGTTAGGCGTTCGACTAGCCATGTGTGACGTGCAGTTACCAGCCTGCTAGCGTTAGCGGCAGAGCAATATCCACCGTCGTAGTACGGAAGAAGCCTGAGCTGGAATGTGAAGCTAACTGAAGCTAGCTAATTTCAGAAAAGCCTGGGTATATCTAACTACATACATAGTATACCCCTCTGGCCATGAAATCTGCAGGCATTCTGCAGGCATAGCAGAACCAAAGGTGCTTTATTATAGTGCAGTTTTTTTCCCAGCCTGTTTACCCAGACAGAAATCCTAATTGTTAACCTTCAGATATCTTGCAGTAACCTGTTTCTGGGCCACTAGCACACTTTTCTTTGCCAGGAGAACACATTTGACATTTTACGTCATTTAGCAGACGCTCTTATCCAGAGCGACTTACAGTTAGTGAGTGCATACATTTTCATACTGGCCCCCCCGTGGGAATCGAACCCACAACCCTGGCGTTGCAAGCGCCATGCTCTACCAACTGAGCTACACGGGGCCCTCTACACTTCAAGAAATACAATGTATATGTCCCAAAAGGCACCCTATTCCCCACAGAGCCCTATGGACCCGGGTCAAAGTAGTGCACTACATAAGGGAATAGGGTACCATTTGGGAAGCATCCACTCACTTTCTATAGCCCGGAGAGCGTTGTCCATCCCCAAGGGCAAACTCAAAACCAACACGATATCCTGTTTTGTCCTCTAGGCTACGTAGAGTACATGAACACTGTGACATGTTCTACCAATGGGCATCTGCTGGGGTCTCCCTTCACATCCCACCATCCTACCGACAGGCATCTGCTGGGGTCTCCCTTCACATCCCACCATCCTACCGACAGGCATCTGCTGGGGTCTCCCTTCACATCCCACCATCCTACCGACAGGCATCTGCTGGGGTCTCCCTTCACATCCCACCATCCTACCGACAGGCATCTGCTGGGGTCTCCCTTCACATCCCACCATCCTACCGACAGGCATCTGCTGGGGTCTCCCTTCACATCCCACCATCCTACCGACAGGCATCTGCTGGGGTCTCCCTTCACATCCCACCATCCTACCGACAGGCATCTGCTGGGGTCTCCCTTCACATCCCACCATCCTACCGACAGGCATCTGCTGGGGTCTCCCTTCACATCCCACCATCCTACCGACAGGCATCTGCTGGGGTCTCCCTTCACATCCCACCATCCTACCGACAGGCATCTGCTGGGGTCTCCCTTCACATCCCACCATCCTACCGACAGGCATCTGCTGGGGTCTCCCTTCACATCCCACCATCCTACCGACAGGCATCTGCTGGGGTCTCCCTTCACATCCCACCATCCTACCGACAGGCATCTGCTGGGGTCTCCCTTCACATCCCACCATCCTACCGACAGGCATCTGCTGGGGTCTCCCTTCACATCCCACCATCCTACCGACAGGCATCTGCTGGGGTCTCCCTTCACATCCCACCATCCTACCGACAGGCATCTGCTGGGGTCTCCCTTCACATCCCACCATCCTACCGACAGGCATCTGCTGGGGTCTCCCTTCACATCCCACCATCCTACCGACAGGCATCTGCTGGGGTCTCCCTTCACATCCCACCATCCTACCGACAGGCATCTGCTGGGGTCTCCCTTCACATCCCACCATCCTACCGACAGGCATCTGCTGGGGTCTCCCTTCACATCCCACCATCCTACCGACAGGCATCTGCTGGGGTCTCCCTTCACATCCCACCATCCTACCCACAGGCATCTGCTGGGGTCTCCCTTCACATCCCACCATCCTACCGACGGGCATCTGCTGGGGTCTCCCTTCACATCCCACCATCCTACCGACAGGCATCTGCTGGGGTCTCCCTTCACATCCCACCATCCTATCCCTGGATGGATGTTGATGTTGACACTCATAGACAGATACAGCTTCTCGTGACCTGCAGCAAAAACACTAGCTTTCTCCTTTCTTGACTCTTCATTCTAAACAGATTCATAAAGCTGCTAGTTATTCTGGAAGGAATAAAAGTGATGGTTCCACCTGCTGTTTTTCTAGTTTATCGTTTTCATTTAATATAGTACACTGAGGATTGGCTGTAAGCTACGATTCACTAGATGTTGGTTGAATGGATCATTTGTTATTTGTGGTTTTACATCTGTATGTATGATGAAAAGCAGATGAACAAACAGGTCATTGGAGAGTCTTGGACCTGAGTAGGAGAGGAGATGTATGTCATTTCACCCAGCATATCCTTCCTTTGTGCTATCAACAGAATGCAGATCAGGCCTTGAACTCTTCACCACCCTGTTTATGTGCCTCTACTGTATATGGCCCTGGAACCATCCCAAATTTCACCCTATTCCCTATATAGTGCAGTACACCCTGGTCAAAAGTAGTGCACTATATAGGGAATAGGGAATTATTTGGTACACCTGCCTCCCTCTGTAACGACACCGTAGCTCTCGTTATTACACCTGCATCTCCTACTGATCTGTTATGGGCATGGTGCGTCATCACATCCTGGATTAGACCCACTCCATCTCCTACTGATCTGTTATGGGCATGGTGCGTCATCACATCCTGGGTTAGACCGTCACTACATCACACCACTCCATCCTGGGTCAGTCACCTCACTACATCACCCTCCATCCTGGGTTAGGTAAGACCCTCACTACATCACACCACTCCATCCTGGGTAGGAAGACCCTCACTACATCACACCACTCCATCCTGGGTTGTAAGACCCTCACTATATCACACCACCCATCCTGGGTTAGGTAAGACCCTCATACATCACACCACTCCATCCTGGGGTAAGACCCTCACTACATCAACCACTCCATCCTGGGTTAGGTAAGACCCTCAATACATCACACCACTCCATCCTGGGTAAGACCCTCACTACATCACACCACTCCATCCTGGGTTAGGTAAGACCCTCAATACATCACACCACTCCATCCTGGGTAGGTAAGACCCTCACTACATCACACCACTCCATCCTGGGTTAGGTAAGACCCTCACTACATCACACCACTCCATCCTGGTAGGTAAGACCCTCATACATCACACCACTCCATCCTGGGTATAGACCCTCACTACATCACACCACTCCATCCTGGGTAGGTAAGACCCTCACTACATCACACCACTCCATCCTGGGTTTAAAGACCCTCACTACATCACACCACTCCATCCTGGGTTAGGTAAGACCCTCACTACATCACACCACTCCATCCTGGGTATAAGACCCTCACTACATCACACCACTCCATCCTGGGTTGGTAAGACCCATCACTACATCACACCACTCCATCCTGGGTTAGGTAAGACCCTCACTACATCACACCACTCCATCCTGGGTTTGGTAAGACCCTCACTACATCACACCACTCCATCCTGGGTTAGGTAAGACCCTCACTACATCACACCACTCCATCCTGGGTAAGACCCTCACTACATCACACCACTCCATCCTGGGTTAGGTAAGACCCTCAATACATCACACCACTCCATCCTGGGGTAAGACCCTCACTACATCACACCACTCCATCCTGGGTTAGGTAAGACCATCACTACATCACACCACTCCATCCTGGGTTAGGTAAGACCCTCACTACATCACACCACTCCATCCTGGGTTTGGTAAGACCCTCACTACATCACACCACTCCATCCTGGGTTAGGTAAGACCCTCACTACATCACACCACTCCATCCTGGGTTAGGTAAGACCCTCACTACATCACACCACTCCATCCTGGGTTAGGTAAGACCCTCACTACATCACACCACTCCATCCTGGGTTAGACCCTCACTACATCTAACCACTCCATCCTGGGTTAGGTAAGACCCTCACTAATCACACCACTCCATCCTGGGTTAGACCCTCACTACATCACACCACTCCATCCTGGGTTAGGTAAGACCCTCACTACATCACACCCACTCCATCCTGGGTAAGACCCCTCACCACATCACACCACTCCATCCTGGGTTAGGTAAGACCTCACTACATCACACCACTCCATCCTGGGTTAGGTAAGACCCTCACTACATCACACCACTCCATCCTGGGTTAGGTAAGACCTCACTACATCACACCACTCCATCCTGGGTAAGACCTCACTACATCACACACTCCATCCTGGTTAGGTTAAGGACCCTCAATACATCACACCCCCCAACTCCATCCTGGGTAAAGACCTCACTACATCACACCACTCCATCCTGGTTAGGTAAGACCATCACTACATCACACCACTCCATCCTGGGTTAGGTAGGACCCTCACTACATCCACACCACTCCATCCTGGGTTTGGTATAGACCCTCACTACATCACACCACTCCATCCTGGGTTAGGTTAAGACCCTCACTACATCACACCACTCCATCCTGGGTTAGGTAAGACCCTCACTACATCACACCACTCCATCCTGGGTTAGGTAAGGACCCTCAACTACATTCACACCACTCAATCCTGGGTTAGGTAAGACCCTCACTACATCACACCACTTCCATCCTGGGTTAGTAAGACCCTCACTACATCACACCACTCATCCTGGGTTAGGTAAGACCCTCACTACATCACACCACTCCATCCTGGGTTAGGTAACCCTCACTACATCACACCACTCCATCCTGGGTTAGGTAAGACCCTCACTACATCACACCACTCCATCCTGGTTTAGACCTCCACTACATCACCACCACTCCATCCTGGTTGGTTAGACCCTCACTACATCACACCACTCCATCCTGGGTTAGGTAGACCCTCACTACATCACACCACTCCATCCTGGGTTAGTAAGACCCTCACTACATCACACCCACTCCATCCTGGGGATTAGACCCTCACTACATCAACACCACTCATCCTGGGTTAGGTAAGACCCTCACTACATCAACACCACTCCATCCTGGGTTAGGTAAGACCCTCACTACATCACACCACTCCATCCTGGGTTAGGACCCTCACTACATCACACCACTCCATCCTGGGTTAGGTAAGACCCTCACTACATCACACCACTCCATCCTGGGTAGTAAGACCCTCACTACATCACACCACCTCCATCCTGGGTTAGGTAAGACCCTCACATCACACTACATCGTAGGTAAACCTCACATCACCCCACTCATCTGGGTTAGGTAAGACCCTCATACATACACTCCATCCGGTGACCTCACTCCCCATCTCTGGGTTAGGTAAGACCCTCACTACATCACACCACTCCATCATGGGTTAGGTAAGACCCTCACTACATCACACCACTCCATCCTGGGTTAGGTAAGACCCTCACTACATCACACCACTCCATCCTGGATTAGACCCTCACTACATCACACCACTCCATCCTGGGTGAGGTAAGACCCTCACTACATCACACCACACCACTCCATCCTGGGTTAGGTTAGACCCTCACTACATCACACCACTCCATCCTGGGTTAGGTAAGACCCTCACTACATCAGACCACTCCATCCTGGGTTAGGTAAGACCCTCACTACATCACACCACTCCATCCTGGGTTAGGTAAGACCCTCACTACATCACACCACTCCATCCTGGGTTAGGTAAGACCCTCACTACATCACACCACTCCATTCTGGGTTAGACCCTCACTACATCACACCACTCCATCCTGGGTTAGGTAAGACCCTCACTACATCACACCACTCCATCCTGGGTTAGGTTAGACCCTCACTACATCACACCACTCCATCCTGGGTTAGACCCTCACTACATCACACCACTCCATCCTGGGTTAGGTAAGACCCTCACTACATCACACCACTCCATCCTGGGTTAGGTAAGACCCTCACTACATCACACCACTCCATCCTGGGTTAGGTAAGACCCTCACTACATCACACCACTCCATCCTGGGTTAGACCCTCACTACATCACACCACTCCATCCTGGGTTAGGTAAGACCCTCACTACATCAGACCACTCCATCCTGGGTTAGGTAAGACCCTCACTACATCACACCACTCCATCCTGGGTTAGACCCTCACTACATCACACCACTCCATCCTGGGTTAGGTAAGACCCTCACTACATCACACCACTCCATCCTGGGTAAAACCCTCACTACATCACACCACTCCATCCTGGGTTAGGTAAGACCCTCACTACATCACACCACTCCATCCTGGGTTAGGTAAGACCCTCACTACATCACACCACTCCATCCTGGGTTAGGTAAGACCCTCACTACATCACACCACTCCATTCTGGGTTAGACCCTCACTACATCACACCACTCCATCCTGGGTTAGGTAAGACCCTCACTACATCACACCACTCCATCCTGGGTTAGGTTAGACCCTCACTACATCACACCACTCCATCCTGGGTTAGACCCTCACTACATCACACCACTCCATCCTGGGTTAGGTAAGACCCTCACTACATCACACCACTCCATCCTGGGTTAGGTAAGACCCTCACTACATCACACCACTCCATCCTGGGTTAGGTAAGACCCTCACTACATCACACCACTCCATCCTGGGTTAGACCCTCACTACATCACACCACTCCATCCTGGGTTAGGTAAGACCCTCACTACATCAGACCACTCCATCCTGGGTTAGGTAAGACCCTCACTACATCACACCACTCCATCCTGGGTTAGACCCTCACTACATCACACCACTCCATCCTGGGTTAGGTAAGACCCTCACTACATCACACCACTCCATCCTGGGTAAAACCCTCACTACATCACACCACTCCATCCTGGGTTAGGTAAGACCCTCACTACATCACACCACTCCATCCTGGGTTAGGTAAGACCCTCACTACATCACACCACTCCATCCTGGGTTAGGTAAGACCCTCACTACATCACACCACTCCATCCTGGGTTAGGTAAGACCCTCACTACATCACACCACTCCATCCTGGGTTAGGTAAGACCCTCACTATATCACACCACTCCATCCTGGGTAAGACCCTCACTACATCACACCACTCCATCCTGGGTTAGGTAAGACCCTCACTACATCACACCACTCCATCCTGGGTTAGGTAAGACCCTCACTACATCACACCACTCCATCCTGGGTTAGACCCTCACTACATCACACCACTCCATCCTGGGTTAGATAAGACCCTCACTACATGCTGTCCAAGCATCGCCTGAGCCTCCCTCTCCTCCATTCTCTCTTCTTTACACCCCGAAAGCAGACAACGACTCATTTCTCACCTCTACTTTTTTAACATGGTGATAAATCGCCCAACGAAACTAATACCAATATCAACTTAGTAGATTTTGAGGAGACTAATCTCTCACCTCTGCAACAATACTTTTGTCTAAGTGTTGTATCAAAAAAACCAACACAATGAATCCCTCTGTTGTTGGTTCTGTCTACACAATCACCCAGAATAAACCTGAGTATGTTAAAACTATATAGACCATTGGCCTAATGAATGGATAAATCACAAATGAAGTAGAGGGTAGTTTCCGGGGCTATCCATATCACCCTGTCCTTCGTTCTGCTGTAGAGGGATATTTATTCCGGAGCATCCAAATCACCCTGTCCTTCGTTCTGCTGTAGAGGGATAGTTATTCCGGAGCATCCAAATCACCCTGTCCTTCGTTCTGCTGTAGAGGGATAGTTATTCCGGAGCATCCAAATCACCCTGTCCTTCGTTCTGCTGTAGAGGGATAGTTATTCCGGAGCATCCAAATCACCCTGTCCTTCGTTCTGCTGTAGAGGGATATTTATTCCGGAGCATCCAAATCACCCTGTCCTTCGTTCTGCTGTAGAGGGATAGTTATTCCGGAGCATCCAAATCACCCTGTCCTTCGTTCTGCTGTAGAGGGATAGTTATTCCGGAGCATCCAAATCACCCTGTCCTTCGTTCTGCTGTAGAGGGATAGTTATTCTGGAACATCCATATCACCCTGTCCTTCGTTCTGCTGTAGAGGGATATTTATTCCGGAGCATCCAAATCACCCTGTCCTTCGTTCTGCTGTAGAGGGATAGTTATTCCGGAGCATCCAAATCACCCTGTCCTTCGTTCTGCTGTAGAGGGATAGTTATTCCGGAGCATCCAAATCACCCTGTCCTTCGTTCTGCTGTAGAGGGATAGTTATTCCGGAGCATCCAAATCACCCTGTCCTTCGTTCTGCTGTAGAGGGATAGTTATTCTGGAGCATCCAAATCACCCTGTCCTTCGTTCTGCTGTAGAGGGATAGTTATTCCGGAGCATCCAAATCACCCTGTCCTTCGTTCTGCTGTAGAGGGATAGTTATTCTGGAACATCCAAATCACCCTGTCCTTCGTTCTGCTGTAGAGGGATAGTTATTCTGGAACATCCAAATCACCCTGTCCTTCGTTCTGCTGTAGAGGGATAGTTATTCCGGAGCATCCAAATCACCCTGTCCTTCGTTCTGCTGTAGAGGGATAGTTATTCCGGAGCATCCAAATCACCCTGTCCTTCGTTCTGCTGTAGAGGGATAGTTATTCCGGAGCATCCAACGAATATCTTCTTTACATTTTAGGCAGCAGCCGTGCTGAAGTCAGATGACTGAAGAGACTGGCTGCGGTTCGCTAGGGATGATATACAGAAGGAAAACAGAGGAGATGAGGTCATCAATCCTAGAGACCTAATGTATGGCTCTGTGCACAACACGCTATCTGCTATAACCACCCCCTTTGTCATCACCACCACAGCAAACTACTTCCAAAATTGCTGAAAAAAAGTTCAATTGCAATTTGCCAGAGGCCAAAGACGAACATGAATTCATGCTTTTTGAAACACTGTAGTCATGATGAGTGATGGTTAATAAATTGGTACTAGTTTATCAATTCATGGTAGTCGGATAACTAGCAAAACGCAACTTTTCATAATGGCATATTTAATTTTTCATGTTGCATTCAGGAACTATAGCATTCTACAATAGAGCATAATAATGAAATAATACAAGAAATGATTCATCACACAAGCTGAAAATAATGTTGACATTGTGTTACAACACAGCTACTAACTGTAGCCTACTGTAACATGACAACAACACAGCTACATACTGCAGTCTACTATGATTTGACAACAACACAGCTACATACTGCAGTCTACTATGATATGACAACAACACAGCTACATACTGCAGTCTACTATGATTTGACAACAACACAGCTACTAACTGTAGCCTACTGTAACATGACAACAACACAGCTACATACTGCAGTCTACTATGATATGACAACAACACAGCTACATACTGCAGTCTACTATGATATGACAACAACACAGCTACATACTGCAGTCTACTATGATTTGACAACAACACAGCTACATACTGCAGTCTACTATGATATGACAACAACACAGCTACTAACTGTAGCCTACTGTAACATGACAACAACACAGCTACATACTGCAGTCTACTATGATTTGACAACAACACAGCTACATACTGCAGTCTACTATGATATGACAACAACACAGCTACATACTGCAGTCTACTATGATATGACAACAACACAGCTACTAACTGTAGCCTACTGTAACATGACAACAACACAGCTACATACTGCAGTCTACTATGATATGACAACAACACAGCTACATACTGCAGTCTACTATGATTTGACAACAACACAGCTACATACTGCAGTCTACTATGATTTGACAACAACACAGCTACATACTGCAGTCTACTATGATTTGACAACAACACAGCTACATACTGCAGTCTACTATGATTTGACAACAACACAGCTACATACTGCAGTCTACTATGATATGACAACAACACAGCTACATACTGCAGTCTACTATGATTTGACAACAACACAGCTACATACTGCAGTCTACTATGATATGACAACAACACAGCTATTTAGTCAACAGTCAGTGTGTGGTTCGCTGTGCATCAAATCCAAGTCAAACACTACGTTGAAAAGGGAGGAATGGAGGAAATTACACACTAAAATTAAAACTATTAGCAAAACCTTACACTCAAGGAGCAAAACACCGGCCTAGATTTGCATAACTGTAAGCACATTGTCAGCTTCACACTTTTTACAAAACATTAAACACACTTGTATGCATTTGACACAGAAATGTATCATGATGTCATTTCCTTGCAATTTCAAAGCAAAGGCTTTCAAATGAACACACCCCATGAACCAATTGGTTAAACACAGCCACCAGGTGTGCACACACACTGGTGCTTAATTGTAGACACACCAATCAGGTTTAAGCACTATAAAAAGGCAACAGGTAAGTTCACCTGTCTTCAAAAAAAATGGACAGTGTCAGAGGAAGAGGAAGAGGAAGAGGAAGAGGAAGAGGGAGAGGGAGAGGGAGAGGGAGAGGGAGAGGGAGAGGGAGAGGGAGAGGAAGAGGGAGAGGGAGAGGGAGAGGGAGAGGGAGAGGGAGAGGGAGACCTGGAGGAGGGGTAGGACATGCACAAAGAAGAAGACAACCAAATCTGTGTAACGAAATTCGTGCTACAATTGTGGACCATGTAATAAACCACGGACTAACACTGAGGGAGGCTGGACTGAGAGTACAGCCTAACCTAAGCAGGTACACGGTGGCATCAATAGTTCGGACATTTCGTCAAGAGCACAGGTGAGAAACGTATCTTCTGTCAACAAAATCCATAGCTTACTGCATGTACTATATCAACAGTTTTGGTATCGATTCCTGTATCATTTTACAGTAAGCTACATGTATTTTGTTTGGCCAACACAGGATTGAACGTCGAGAAAACCAAGGAGGGAGGGGCCCCATATTCACACAGGAACAAGAGAGAGAGATCATAAACCTAGTTTTGGCCAATAATGCAATCGGACATAGAGAAATTCAAGCCCATATTGTCAATGATCACCGAATTTTCAAGTGCCATTTGACAGAAATTCAGACAGGGTGAAAGTCCTGCGGCGTGAATATGTGGTGGTACGTTTTGTTCACTGACTGTAGTATTGTGTACTGCACACATAACCTTTTTACTGTACATGTAATTTTACTGTATAGCAGACCTACAGTAACTTGATCTACACAACGTGCTATTTTGCTGTATTTCAGAGAGTTTTGCAAATGGATGCGGAGGAAGTCCAGCATGAGTTTATATACATTGATGATGCTGGATTTAACCTGACAACAGTGAGAAGAAGGGGAAGAAACAATTTTGGCCACAGGGCTATTGTCAATGTAATGGGCAACGTGGGGGTAACATTACCCTTTGTGCTGCCATTACACAGAATGGGGTCCTCCACCGCCATGCCAACTTGGGTCCTTACAACACTGACCTCATTCTTACATTTTTAGACAGATTACACAATATTATCACAGCAGCAAACCAAAGGGACCAGATGCAATACGTTGTCGTCTGGGACAATGTAGCTTTCCAACATTCTGCTCTGGTCCAAAACTGGTTTCATCAACACCCACAATTTACAGTTCAATACCTTCCACCACACTCCCCCCTTCCTAAACCCCATCGAGGAGTTCTTCTCAGCATGGCGGTGGAAGGTTTATGATCTCCGGCCCTATGTCCAGATGGCCCTCATTCAAGCTATGGTGGAAGCATGTGATCAAATTGAAGCAGCATCCACACAAGGGTGGATTCGTCACTCCAAAAGATTCTTCCCACGTTGCCTTGCAAATGAAAATATAGCCTGTGATGTTGACGAGGCCCTGTGGCCAGATCCAGCTAGGCGGAGAGATGTTTAGGTTATTTTTCTTTTTTATTCGGTACTGAACTGGATATGTAATTTATCTTACAGTATTACTGTAAGCTTACAGTACAATGGTACGTTCAGTAATACTGTATGAAAACTGGAAAATGTTTTGTTATGAATGTTTTGTTGAAATGTTCAGTATTGACTGACTTGAGTACATGAAAATAAATACATATTTTCATTAGTCTGCACGAATGGTGTCGTGTTGTGTTGGTGAATTTATTTTGACACTTTCTCTGTGTAAATGCTAAAAGTGTTTTATGTTGAGCACAGGAGTGTTTAACTGACTCAAACAGAATCAGACCATATGATGGTTGGGTTTATGTTATGAGAACCGGTAAGTCGTCAGCATGCACTAAACATTACGCTACTCTCAATTGTCAAATGACTGCATACCAATGTGCATCACAGAGTAGGTGATGTGACCAAGTGTCTTCTTACTGTAATGTTCCCTGTAGAATTGAGACTAGGCCAAATAGGGGAGGCAGAGGCAAAATTCTGACTGACCAACAAGAGCAGGCTGTGGTCGATTTGGTTCGGGACAGAAATGATATTCGCCTTACAGAAATTCGCCAGCATATCTTGGATAATGAAAACATGTTTAACAATGTGGAATCCATAAGTTTGCCGACTAGTGCACGCATGCTGAAAAGGCACCAGGTGTCTTTAAAACAACTATACCGTGTGCCTTTGGAAAGAAATGCAGACAGAGTGAAGCAAATGAGGACGGAGTATGTTCAGGTATGTTCAGTTTCAAGATGGCTGTTGTAATACAATTCCCTAATAATTCTACATTGTACAGTAATCAGTAAATCTCTTTCCAAAATGTATTTTTAGAGGGTGATGGAGCTGGATGCTGATGACAACCATCACAAATTCATATATTTGGATGAGGCAGGCTTTAACCTGGCCAAGACAAGGAGGAGAGGTCGGAATTTCATTGGCCAGCGGGCAACCATCCAAGTACCTGGACAACGTGGGGCCAACATTACCATGTGTGTGGCTACATCAGAAGATGGTGTGGTTGGACGCAGACCTCGTATTGGATCATATAATGCAGCTCTCCTTGTAACCTTCCTTGATGAGCTCGATCAGGTCTGTAGAGCCGATGGCGTGACCTATGTCATTGTGTGGGATAATGTCAGGTTCCACCATGCTCATATGGGTCAAGCATGGTTTCAGGCCCATGCACAATTTAGCACCCTGTATTTACCCCCATACTCTCCTTTCCTTAACCCGATTGAGGAATTTTTCTCCACATGGAGATGGAAGGTTTATGATAGGCGCCCTCATGAACAAGTCACTCTTCTCCAGGCCATGGATGACGCATGCAATGACATCACGGCAGACCAGTGTCAGGCCTGGATTCGCCATGCCCAAAGGTTTTTTCCAAGATGTTTGGCTAATGAAAACATCCATTGTGATGTAGATGAGAACCTGTGGCCAAATCCATAAGACAGAGTTGATGAAAATGTAGAAGTACAGTAATCACTCCTATGTTTTGCTTTTTACAGTACAAGCAAGCAAGTTGAGGAACACTGCATTTGATGTTTTACAGTACTGTATTGTTTTTCATCAATATATTTCAGATTTTGTTCAATGATTCCACTGTGTCTGTAGTATTCTCTCTACTACTGCAGTACTTTTACAGGGATGTATTTACATGTAGTACCATAATGAAACATGTATCACCTATTTTGTACTACAATATTTAATTATTGTACGAACAATGACACAGTGAAACTATCGGTTGCTTGTGTGTGGGTGATCTAAATTAACGTTTCATTGGTATTTCACAATAAATTTGTTTTTTGAACCAATGATTGTGCAAGTGCAATATTTATTTAAAGATATGAATGCACAATGCAATGTTTTGAACATTGGACAGCCTGTGTTACAAGTGATGACCGTTTTGAGTTTTGTGTCTAGAGTTTTGAAAAATGACGTCAAGGTTCTGAAATTAGTGCCAAAGTGATTGTAAAAAAAAAACTGTATGACAACAAAATAAGGTTTTTATAAGACATTGTATAGTTTTGACAAAAGTGTTCCAATTTGCAAATGATCTGAGGTGTTGTGCTACTTTGGTGTAGTGTTGGGCTAATTGTGTGAAGGGGTTTGAAAAACCGGGCCCTGTTTTCAAAATTGTGCTTAAGCAATTGAAAAAAAACTGTAAGTGAATTTTGCAGACTGCAGTCGGTTACAAGTAAATATATAAATGAACTTGTCAGTTGGTCCCAGAGGGAGGAACAGCCTCACATAGACCAATAAGAGAAGCAGCTATGTTGTCAAGCACACCCCATGTCCATACAATAACAGGTAAATAACGAGTACCAAGAAAGAATATCCTGAATGTTCAGACCCATGATTAAAGTACTGTGTGTGTATCTGTCTGTGTGTGTGTGTGTCTGTGTGTGTGTGTGTGTGTGTCTGTGTGTGTGTGTGTGTGTGTGTGTCTGTGTGTGTGTGTGTCTGTGTGTGTGTGTGTGTGTGTGTGTGTGTGTGTGTGTGTGTGTCTGTGTGTGTGTGTGTGTGTGTGTGTGTGTGTGTGTGTGTGTGTGTCTGTGTGTGTGTGTTTCTCTGTGTATGTATGTGTGTGTGTGTGTGTGTGTGTGTGTGTGGGGTGTGTGTGTGTGTGTGTGTGTGTGTGTGTGTGTGTGTGTGTGTGTGTGTGTGCGTGTGTGTGTGTGTGTGTCAAATAACTATGACTGCAGTGTGGTAATCATTGGCTCACTGTTTAGAGGGTTGCCAACCCAACAAAACTCAACACACAGAAAGTCAAATAAAACTATTTTTTCCAATGCCAGCAAAATATTTTGGACACAGTACAGTCGTGGTCTAAAGTTTTGAGAATGACACAAATACTAATTTTCACAAAGTCTGCTTTCTCAGTTTGCATATACTACAGAATGTCATGAAGAGTGATCAGATGAATTGCAATTAATTGCAAAGTCCCTCTTTGCCATGAACATGAACTTAATCCCCAAAAAACATTTCCACTGGATTTCAGCCCTGCCACAAAAGGACCAGCTGCCATCATGTCAGTGATTCTCTCGTTAACACAGGTGAGAGTGTTGACGAGGACAAGGCTGGAGATCACTCTGTCATGCTGATTTGAGTTAGAATAACAGACTGGAAGCTTTAAAAGGAGGGTGGTGCTTGAAATCATTGTTCTTCCTCTGTTAACCATGGTTACCTGCAAGGAAACACGTGCCGTCATCATTGCTTTGCACAAAAAGGGCTTCACAGGCAAGGATATTGCTGCTAGTAAGATTGCACCTAAATCAACCATTTATCGGATCATCAATAACTTCAAGGAGAGAGGTTCAATTATTGTGAAGAAGGCTTCAGGGCGCCCAAGAAAGTCCAGCAAGCGCCAGGACCGTCTCCTAAAGTTGATTCAGCTGCGGGATCGGGGCACCACAAGTGCAGAGCTTGCTCAGGAATGGCAGCAGGCAGGTGTGAGTGCATCTGCACGCACAGTGAGGCGAAGACTTTTGGAGGATGGCCTGGTGTCAAGAAGGGCAGCAAAGAAGCCACTTCTCTCCAGGAAAAACATCAGGGACAGACTGATATTCTGCCAAAGGTACAGGGATTGGACTGCTGAGGACTGGGGTAAAGTCATTTTCTCTGAAGAATCCCCTTTCCGATTGTTTGGGGCATCCGGAAAACACCTTGTCCAGAGAAGACAAGGTGAGCGCTACCATCAGTCCTGTGTCATGCCAACAGTAAAGCATCCTGAGACTATTCATGTGTGCGGTTGCTTCTCAGCCAAGGGAGTGGGCTCACTCACAATTTTGCCTAAGAACACAGCCATGAATAAAGAATGGTACCAACACATCCTCCGAGAGCAATTTCTCCCAACCATCCAAGAACAGTTTGGTGACGAACAATGCCTTTTCCAGCATGATGGAGCACCTTGCCATAAGGCAAAAGTGATAACTAAGTGGCTCGGGGAACAAAACATCAACATTTTGGATCCATGGCCAGGAAACTCCCCAGACCCCATTGAGAACTTGTGGTCGATCCTCAAGAGGCGGGTGGACAAACAAAAACCCACAAATTCTGACAAACTCCAAGCATTGATTATGCAAGAATGGGCTGCCATCAGTCAGGATGTGGCCCAGAAGTTAATTGACAGCATGCTAGGGCGGATTGCAGAGGTCTTGAAAAAGAAGGGTCAACACTGCAAATATTGACTCTTTGCATAAACTTCATGTAATTGTCAATAAAAGCCTTTGACACTTATGGAATGTTTCTAAATATACTTCAGTATACAATAGTAACATCTGACAAAAATATCTAAAAACACTGAAGCAGCGAACTTTGTGAAGACCAATACTTGTGTCATTCTCAAAACTTTTGACCACGACTGTACAGTATCACTATAATATAATTTTGAATATTGTTACATAACTATTTAATTTAATGTTAGGGGGATGCTGACGCTGCTCGATCACGCTGCTCGCTCTGTGGGTAAGTGAACGCTCCTACCACTGTCTCTCCAAAGCATCTTTGACAGGTGTTTTGGCTCACTGCCCTGCACACTGCTTGTATCCAGTTGGTGATCTCCCGCTCCTTTAGTAAAGTGCAGCCAGGATCCATACAGTGAGTTAGTTCTCTGCTTTCTCTTTGTTTATCGTACTGGTGCATGTGTGATCAAGTGTGTGTTGCTTGTGTGTGTTTGGCACTTCACTGGAGGGGCTTGTTAACAGGAGGCGGGGTGTGTTCAGGAGGCGGGGTGTGTTCAGGAGGCGGGGTGTGTTCAGGAGGCGGGGTGTGTTCAGGAGGCGGTGTGTTCAGGAGGCGGGGTGTGTTCAGGAGGCGGGGTGTGTTCAGGAGGCGGGGTGTGTTCAGGAGGCGGGGTGTGTTCAGGAGGCGGGGTGTGTTCAGGAGGCGGGGTGAACTACTCAATCAACAAAAATAGTTATATGAAGAAGATCTAATAGAACTTGAAGTCCTTCCTGCAACTCTTTATGGATTCTACCAACAAAAGGGTTGATGATCTGTTTAAGGATGTAATGGAATTTAAACACAGTTTGGAATTTTAGCAGTCGGAGGTGGAGGAGCTAAAGGGAGTGAATGTCACCAGCCAGACCACATTCAAAACCATATCTGAGGATTTCACAATTTTTGACAAGCACTCTTCCAAAGGAGACTGCCTCGAAAACCAATCGAGGCACAATAACCTTTTAATCGATGGAATTGAGGACGTAAAGACTGAAACTTGGCATGACACAGAAGTCAAGGCCAATAAACTCCTGGCAGATCAATTCAAACTGGACCCTAAACTCATGGAGCTGGAGAGAGCGCATACGAATAGCACTTTCTTCCCCGATGGACAGCCCAGATCTATAGTGGTGAAACTGCTCATGTTCAAAGACAAGGAGGAGATTCAGGAGAGCCTGAAGGGAACAAACATCTTCATCAATGAAGACTTCTCTGAAAAAGTACGCCTCAAAAGAAAGGAACTGCTGCCACGACTAATTGAAGAACGAAAAAAAAGGCTACATCCCTGAAGAATGATCAGCTGGTCGTTCAACCCCTCTCCTAGTTATATGGCAAGTGACTCCGCTATAGTCAAATGATTTGACACACACACACCCACACACCCACCCACACACCCACCCACACACACACACACCCACACACACACACACACACACACACACACACACACAAACACACACACACACACACACACACACACACACACACCCACACACACCCACACACACACCCACACACCCACCACACCACACACACACACACACACACACACACACACACACACACACACACACACACACACACACACACACACACACACACACACCCACACCCACCCACACACACACACACACACCCACACACACCCAACCACACACACACACCCACATATTTACTCTACGTTGTTCATGTGTTTCACCTGACCTCATGAACAGAAACACACATTGCTCTAAATGTCATAACCCTCAGAAGTCTTCAGTGGTGTTATGTGGACTGTGTGAATGTGCATTCCATGGGAAGTGCACCCCTATTGATCAAACTAACACACTATGTTTCCGTTCCATTCTCTGGATGATTCCAACTGTGTATCTCCCTTAGTTGGGCAGGATATCAACCCTGATAACATGGTCTTTAACCCCATTAGATATTAATGAAGCCAACGATAAACATAATGATTGTGTTGATCCAGATTAAAATGTCCTGAAATTGACCAGAAATAAGTCTGTCACTTGTGATTACTTAATGTAAGTAACTGTGAGGACACTGTTTTGCTGCAGCATCCCAACGGGTAGCTTTCACTGCATTGTCTCTTTCAATTAGGTATGAACCCAAGCCTGTTGGCCCATGTCAACATCCCTTTTTCTAAGAGAAAGCGTTTCGGGAGGTTTTAGCAGCTTCTAAGAGAAAGCGTTTCGGGAGGTTTTAGCAGCTTCTAAGAGAAAGCGTTTCGGGGGGGGGGTTCAGCAGCAGTTCTAAAAACACCCTCATGAATCCATGTCAGATTGTAAATAATAAGGGGCTGAGTTAACCTTGAAGATCATTTCATCTTGATCACAGAAAAATCGTGATTCTGTTGAGTGAGTTGTCTTGATCCCACATTACAGCACTGTGCTGTATCTCACTCGTACTGCAGAACGCTCAACAGGCTATTCCGCTATTGCAGTGTTCAATTAAGTTCGTTTAGGAGAAACACAGCGATTACAAAGTAAATGGGCTACTAGGGAACAGAGTAGACGTGTGTGTTATAGTCTCATATATACTGAACAAAAATAGGAACGCAACATGCAACAATTTTACTGAGTTACAGTTCATATAAGGAAATCAGTCAATTGAAATAAATTCATTAGGCCATAATCTATGGATTTCACATGACTGAGCAGGGGCGCAACCATGGGTGGGCCTGGGAGGGCATAGGCCCACCTACTGGGGAGCCAGGCCCACCCAATGGGGAGCCAGACCCAGCCAATCAGAATGAGTTTTTCCCCACAAAAAGAGCTTTATTACAGACAGAAATACTCCTCAGTTTCATCAGCTGTCCGAGTGGCTCGTCTCAGACACAGAAGCCGGATGTGAAGAAGCCGGATGTGGAGGTCCTGTGCTGACGTGGTTACACGTGGTCTGCGGTTGTGAGGTCAGTTGGACGTACTGACGAATTCTCTAAAACGACATTGGAGGCGGCTTATGGTAGAGAAATTAACATTAAATTATCTGGAAACAGCTCTGGTGAACATTCCTGCAGTCAGCATGCCAAATGCATGGTCCCTCAATACTTGAGCCATCTGTGGCATTGCGTGACAAAACTGCACATTTTAGAGTGGCCTTTTATTGTCCCCAGCACAAGGTGCACCTGTGTAATGATCATGCTGTTTAATCAGCTTCTTGATATGCCACACCTGTCACAAACAAACATGGGACCAACACTTTACATGTTACGTTTCTATTTTTGTTCAGTATAGGTAAAACCCTTCACAGTGAGAGAGTCGGCATGGCCAGAGGCCAGAATAGAGGCTAAATAGTCAACTCAGATGACATTTCAAGAACAACTAGCTAGCCAGAATAAGACAGGTTTCATAAATAAGCCTACATAATTGAGATTGTTTCCACTTTCAATATTAGTAGATACACTAGGCTATGTATGGGTTATATTAATATATACACTAGGCTATGTGTGGGTTATATTAGTAGATACACTAGGCTATGTGTGGGTTATATTAATAGATACACTAGGCTATGTGTGGGTTATATTAGTAGATACACTAGGCTATGTGTGGGTTATATTAGTAGATACACTAGGCTATGTGTGTCACGATCGTCTAGGAGTGAAGGAGACCAAAGCGCAGCGCGTTGAACGAACATGACTTTAATTGGGAAAAGCACCGAAATACAAAACAAAAGACGACTCGTGAAGTCCACAGTACAACGACTGAAACACGGAACAATAACCCACAATGCCCACAAGAAAACATACAGAATAAATATGGCTCCCAATCAGAGATAACGAGCCGACAGCTGACACTCGTTACCTCCGATTGGGAGTCAATGACCAAACCTAGAAACACACACAACAGAACTACCAACATAGAAAATCACCCAAAACCCAACAAAACACAATACACCCTGGCTCAAACACAAAAGTCCCGGAGCCAGAGTGTTACAGTACCCCCCCCTAAAGGTGCGCACTCCGGGCGCACCAGCATACAGTCTCGGGGAGGGTCTGGGTGGGCGTCTGTCCACGGTGGCGGTTCTGGCCCTGGTCGTGGTCCCCACCCCACCTTAGTCACCACCCGCTTCCCTAGCCTCCTCCACATGACCACCCTCCAACTTACTCCACCTGGATTTAGGGGCAGCACCGGGCTAAGGGACAGCACCGGACTAAGGGGCAGCACCGGACTAAGGGACAGTACCTGACTAAGGGGCGGATCCTGGCTGGCTGGCTCTGGCGGATCCTGGCTGGCCGGCTCATGGCAGGCTGAAGGATCTGGCTGCTCATGGCTGGCTGACGGATCTGGCTGCTCATGGCTGGCTGACGGATCGGGCTGCTCATGGCTGGCCGAAGGCTCTGGCTGATCCTGTCTGGCGGAAGGCTCTGGCTGATCCTGTCTGGCAGAAGGCTCTGGCTGATCCTGTCTGGCAGAAGGCTCTGGCTGATCCTGTCTGGCAGAAGGCTCTGGCTGATCCTGTCTGGCGGAAGGCTCTGGCTGATCCTGTCTGGCGGAAGGCTCTGGCTGATCCTGTCTGGCAGAAGGATCTGGCTGATCCTGTCTGGCAGAAGGCTCTGGCTGATCCTGTCTGGCGGAAGGCTCTGGCTGATCCTGTCTGGCGGAAGGCTCTAGCGGCTCTGGTCTGGCGGACGGCTCTGATGGCTCATGGCAGACGGGCGGCTTTGCAGGCTTTAGGCAGACGGGCAGTTCAGGCCCCGTTGGGCAGACGGCAGACTCTGGCCGTCTGAGGCGCACCGTAGACTTAGTGCGGGTGGCCGGAACAGGCCGGACCGGGCTGGCGACGCGCACCGTAGTCTTGGTGCGGGTGGCAGGAACAGGCCGGGTCGGGCTGGCGACGCGCACCGTAGTCTTGGTGCGGGTGGCAGGAACAGGCCGGACCGGGCTGGCGACGCGCACCGTAGTCTTGGTGCGGGTGGCAGGAACAGGCCGGGTCGGGCTGGCGACGCGCACCGTAGTCTTGGTGCGGGTGGCAGGAACAGGCCGGGTCGGGCTGGCGACGCGCACCGTAGTCTTGGTGCGGGTGGCAGGAACAGGCCGGACCGGGCTGGCGACGCGCACCGTAGTCTTGGTGCGGGTGGCAGGAACAGGCCGGACCGGGCTGGCGACGCGCACCGTAGTCTTGGTGCGGGTGGCAGGAACAGGCCGGACCGGGCTGGCGACGCGCACCGTAGACTTGGTGCGGGTGGCAGGAACAGGCCGGACCGGGCTGGCGACGCACACCGTAGACCTGGTGCGGGTGGCAGGAACAGGCCGGACCGGGCCGTGGAGACGGATAGGAGGCCTGGAGCGAACAGCGGACACCACCCGTCCTGGCTGAATGCCTACCCTCACACACTCTGTGTGAGGCATCAGCACAGGACGTACAGGGCGGTGTACCCCTGGCCTGGTGGCCTCCTGGATACTCCCCCTTTTCTCCTCCGTCAGCCCCGTCGTCCATGCCGTGTGCCCCCCCCTAAAAATTTTCTGGGGTTGACACACGACCCTCCGACGATGGCCCTGCTGCCGCCGTTGCTCCTCTCTCGCCAGGGCCTTGATCCTTCCCCAAGGTCCCTTGCCTCCGAGCATGTCCTCCCAGGACCACGATGTGCCCACCTGGGCCATCGCCAGCCTCTCCATCTCCTTGCCCGGCGCCTCCTCCCATGTCCAGTCTCCTTGCTCCTGGACACGCTGCTTGGTCTTTCTTTGGTGGGTTATTCTGTCACGATCGTCTAGGAGTGAAGGAGACCAAAGCGCAGCGCGTTGAACGAACATGACTTTAATTGGGAAAAGCACCGAAATACAAAACAAAAGACGACTCGTGAAGTCCACAGTACAACGACTGAAACACGGAACAATAACCCACAATGCCCACAAGAAAACATACAGAATAAATATGGCTCCCAATCAGAGATAACGAGCCGACAGCTGACACTCGTTACCTCCGATTGGGAGTCAATGACCAAACCTAGAAACACACACAACAGAACTACCAACATAGAAAATCACCCAAAACCCAACAAAACACAATACACCCTGGCTCAAACACAAAAGTCCCGGAGCCAGAGTGTTACAATGTGTGGGTTATATTAGTAGATACACTAGGCTATGTGTGGGTTATATTAATAGATACACTAGGCTATGTGTGGGTTATATTAGTAGATACACTAGGCTATGTGTGGGTTATATTAATAGATACACTAGGCTATGTGTGGGTTATATTAGTGTATACACTAGGCTATGTGTGGGTTATATTAGTGTATACACTAGGCTATGTGTGGGTTATATTAGTAGATACACTAGGCTATGTGTGGGTTATATTAATAGATACACTAGGCTATGATGCTTTACATCAGGGGTCACCAACCTTTCTAGCATTAAAAAATGAAACAGGTTGCGAGCTACTATTTTTTCAAGCTTTCAAATAGGCCCATTCTTCTGTTCTCCTCTCCCCTGCAACTATTCCCTAGTGTACAAAATAAAGTAGCGAACTATATTTTCTGTCAATAGACTTGGTAAAAGAATGGTTCAGAAACAACTTTAAGGGGGGCCCTATAAAATCAGGATTTTTTTCTCCCAAATTATGTTATTTCTGTTAGATTTTTCCTGGTTTTAGATCATTTTTGTTTTTCACTCTCAAAATTACAGTTGTTCATAGACAAACAACGCAATTGGATGTTCTGTGTCCATGTCAATGCTGAAATCACATCAGAAGACAATTATTTTATGGTCTGGAAGAAATAACACATTTTGATTTTTTAGTGTAATTCCCCTTTAATTGTGCATCTGGCCCTTTAATTGAGCATTTGGCCCTTTAATTGTGTATCTGGCCCTTTAATTGTGCATCTGGCCCATTAATTGTGTATCTGGCCCTTTAATTGTGTATCTGGCCCTTTAATTGTGCATATGGCCCTTTAATTGTGCATCTGGCCCTTTAATTGTGTATCTGGCCCTTTAGTTGTGTATCTGGCCCTTTAATTGTGTATCTGGCCCTTTAATTGTGTATCTGGCCCTTTAATGGTGTATCTGGCCCTTTAATGGTGTATCTGGCACTTTAATGGTGTATCTGGCCCTTTAATGGTGTATCTGGCCCTCTAATTGTGTATCTGGCCCTTTAATGGGGTATCTGGCCCTTTAATGGGGTATCTGGCCCTTTAATGGTGTATCTGGCCCTTTAATGGTGTATCTGGCCCTTTAATGGTGCATCTGGCCCTTTAATTGTGTATCTGGCCCTTTAATTGTGCATCTGGCCCATTAATTGTGTATCTGGCCCTTTAATTGTGTATCTGGCCCTTTAATTGTGCATATGGCCCTTTAATTGTGCATCTGGCCCTTTAATTGTGTATCTGGCCCTTTAGATGTGTATCTGGCCCTTTAATGGTGTATCTGGCCCTTTAATTGTGTATCTGGCCCTTTAATGGGGTATCTGGCCCTTTAATGGGGTATCTGGCCCTTTAATGGTGTGTCTGGCCCTTTAATGGTGTATCTGGCCCTTTAATGGTGTATCTGGCCCTTTAATGGTGTATCTGGCCCTTTAATTGTGTATCTGGCCCTTTAACTGCACATCTATAGAGTGAGGAATGTGCAGTCTGATGTTCTGGTCTAGTGATGCTTCTGTACTGCTGCTGCTCATTCCATGGCAAGGTTTGCAAATGACAAATAATAGATACAAATGATATACTTCCTCATGATATACTTCCTCATGATATACTTCCTCATGATATACTTCCTCATGATATACTTCCTCATGATATACTTCCTCATGATATACTTCTGCCAGGTAAGCCTACTTTGCAGTTAACATTTAATTGAGAAGGTTTTGGGGAAAGTATTTCTGCCAACCCACAAGAAGGTTATCACATCAACTGGCTGGCTACACATGGAGTGTTAGACAAACACGCGCACCACACAGACAGAATACTGCAGCTCGCGATCGACCTGTTGGAGACCGCTGCTTTACGCCATCAAGTCAATCACACTCAATTCTAAGACATTCTGAGCCATGTTACAGGAATCGACTTAACATTCCTCTAAACTCACTCCACTTTGGAGGGCAATCTACACCAAAGGAAGACTAGATAATATTGACACCAATCTACACCAAAGGAAGACTAGATAATATTGACACCAATCTACACCAAAGGAAGACTAGATAATATTGACAATTTCCTCAAATTTGAGCTTCACCACTGTAGTAATTGACTGGACCCCGGAGCGTGTTTGAGACCATAATTGAATTATCAAATTTCCCTAAAACACAAAAAGGCAAGAAGAAAAGTGGATTTAAATACTGTAAAGTTATTTGCAAAGAGCATCTGCTGAGTCAGCCGGATTTACTCCCTAACAAATAAACAGAAATGGAAATGATGGTGATAACCTCTATAGTCTCAAAATAACCTATCCCGTCTCAGTGTGCATCCCAAATGGCACCCTATCCCCTAGGTCATAACGTACGTTCTGTGACAACACAAAGGTACTTTCAAAGGCGCATAAAATCCATTCCGTATTCAGACCACATGCACAACATGGACCCCTCCAAAAAACCTCTCTGTCTGACAACAGTCTGAGAATCTAAGGATGTTTCAACGCAGGACTGTGAGCATCAAAATGATACCGAGCATCTAAATGATGCTGATAACGACATATGAGTTCACAGAAACCTTACAGCCTTATCAACCCAAATGGTAGGAGGGAGCTGAGAGCAGCATGAATGGGGACAGAGCAAACTGCCAAGAGGTTCAACTGCCAAGGAAGATACATTATAGGGATTTACTCAACTGCAGTGGGTCTGAACTGTTGTTTTGTAGCTAACTGTCCATCAAGTTCCAGAACTCATTGACCATTTTAGACTCTTTGTTATCAAAATACGAGTGTGTAGTCCAGGGTGTCGTCCAGGGTGTAGTCCAGGGTGTAGTCCAGGGTGTCGTCCAGGGTGTCGTCCAGGGTGTCGTCCAGGGTGTCGTCCAGGGTGTAGTCCAGGGTATGTCACGAATAGAATAACAGCACCATGCTTCTCTGGACTCAATTCTACATTCATCAAGTATTTCAATGCAACCTACACTACAGAGGGAAAAGTGAGCATTGTAATCCACCTGCCCTGTAGGGAAATGGCCACTCTAAACTGTCTGGAGCACTTAAGAGCAAGACATCCACTGAAGGGACTGAATCCAGCTTTCAGTGAATGGTCACACACACACACACACACACACAGACACACACACACACACACACACACACACACAGACACACACACACACAAACACACATCCTCTCTCTCTCTCTCTCTCTCTCTCTCTGTGTAAATGCTGGAAGCAAGCAATGAACAACAAAAGCCAAGCAACTCTTGTGTGTCCAGTCTTACTACTGCTCACCAATATGTGGGTTTTGGCTGTAATAAATCATTATATTGCTAATGCAGCAACTACAAATTGAGGAGAATCTGAAACAACGGTGTTCATTATGGTTTTGGCCAAGTGCAAAAACAGAGGCAGAGACACAAGGCTCTAACTATCTCATCTGAGATAGGGCTAAATGCACAATTAAAGGGTCTTTAGCCCATCAACTTTCAACTAATCACTGCAGAGTAATAACTGTCAAATTATCTACCATTGTAACGCAATAGACGGCATGACGCAATAGCTTGCCTTTTGTTGTAAAAACAGTGATAGTGAGAAAATAATCTCTTATTTAGAAGAAACCTGTTATTAAAGACTTATATTATACTTATTGTAATAAAACATTATTATTATTATTATTATGTAACAGGCTATCTGAAGTCTTCAGCAGTTTGAGTGCATCATGAACTTGTCTCTCCCAGAGGAGCGCGTTGCGTTGAAACTCCCCGCTCCTATAACCTCACAGCTGTAAACCCCACTCTCATCCCTCAAAAAACACCATCAAAACATTTCAAACAAGTCTCAATACTCACCGCCAAATGCACGGAACAGGCAGGTTTTTCCTTCGTAATATCACGTTTTATTCACTACGTCCAAGATAATCTAACGGTAAACAAGCAGTCTCCGTCGCCCCCGAACCAACGAATGGCAGAGGGTCCTTTCCGCTCCTCCGTTTCTCTCTAAACGATGAGACGACGACGTAAATTGTACATCCTAGGCACCCTCTGTTGTGTCTCGTGTCGATTTATCCGGTGTCCGTTTGTTTCTGGAGGACTTCACCTTTGCCTTCGCTTCGGCAAACCTTTCCGCCCGTTACCGAACGGGGTCCGTCTGACTGACTGTTTGTCTGAGCAGCTTCTGTTCTGCAGAACGTCCAGCCCCGTTCTAGAGCTAGAAGGACTGAGCTCCCATCCCTCTCCTCCCATCCCCAATCATCTACCCCAGTTCCATCACCACCAAGCAGCTTGTGTCTGTGAAGTTCACACTGGATAGATACACAGCCCTGAATGTGATGGTTTCCTACCTCTATGGAGTAGCCTAGTTGAAGCATACGGTTTGATCGTAAACTATTGTAGCCTAGTTGAGATACTAGCTAGTAGAATACATTGTGTAAATTGTCCAGCAGTTTGGATGTCATGTCAAGGGATATGTGGATTGATGCCTTAACAAATAGATGACAAAGAGGCTACCGTGTCTCACGGCCGAGGAAGGAGATAGGTAGGCAGTGATTTCGAATAGGTGTAGGCTTGATTTGAATATTGGTTGCGACTGCATTCATGTGCTCAAGACCAAAGAAAAAAAGGGGGAAATATTTTACGAGAAAATACACTCTGGCTCAGTGTCACTTTGCACTTAAATTGTTGCAAAAAATAAATTGGCCCAAACTTGACTTTATTACTATCCATGGCTGTTCCACTTCTCTGGCGAACTCTTGAAGGGATGAAACACACTGATTTAAATACCCTCTGTGTCAGGAAGCCGGCACTGCATTTACAGTTTAGTCATTCAGCAGAAGCTCTTATCCAGAGCGACTTACAGTTAGTGAGTGCATACATAATTTTTATATTTTTCATACTGGCCCCCCGTGCGAATCGAAATGCTCTACCAACTGAGCTACAGCCCTTCCGGCCATTCCCTCCCCTAACCTGGGACAATTGTGCGCCGCCCCATGGGTCTCCCGGTCGCGGCCGGCTACGACAGAGCCTGGATTCGAACCAGGAGCTCTAGTGGCACAGCTAGCACTGCGATGCAGTGCCTTAGACCACTGCGCCACTCGGGTGGAATATAGCCCATAACAGGTGGTGTCAGGTAAATATGTTATCCCTACATTTCTCCTACATTACCATGTTGGCACAAAACGACTCTCTCTTTTGCCTTACAAATCACAACAGGTAAGTGTCAGTATAACGAGTGTTGAATTTCATGTAATGCGTTTTACACAAAATCTGAATAGTTCCCATATTATACATTTTGAAATGCCTTTCATGAACTAACACTAGCACTTCACCCCCCTCATCAACATCCCCTGCCCCCTTACCTGTCCTCCTGTATTCCCCATCATCAACAACCCCTGCCCCCCAACCCATCCTCTACACCGGTCACATCAGGAAAACATGACATTAACCCTGTCTACCCCGGTCACATCAGGAAGGGAAAACATGACATTAACCCTGTGAGACCCACAGTTGTAAAAATGCAACGCTGCCTAATTTGCATCCTGTAAACTAAAATATGATGTCAAACACAACATAGTGCATCTCAATAGACCCAGATGCATCTCTGAGTAGTATTGTTGTGTGTCACTATGATTACCGATGCATCAGTAGCCTCTGAAACACTAGAGTAGAAACCTGTCCACTCATCTGAGACCCCACTGGTCCCCTTACACAAGCATATGTTGGTAGCCACCCATGCATATTTCTTCCTGTCTTCTCTAATATGTGGTGATTATGTAGAAAAAAAGTCATTGAGAAACAAACATTATGAGCCAGACTTGAGGTAGAATTGTATGGGTTGCAAAAAAAACGCATCATTGGGCTTAAAGAGTTACAAAACTAAAACACATAGATCACATTTACATATTGACATAGACAAGTAAGAGAGATTGTTTCCCTTCCCAAATAACCAAATACTTCAGCAGTAACTCGGATGTTCCCTCAACACATCAAAAGAACAGAAATGAATATGGTTTTAATGAGATCAGAATACCGTCATCATGTGATCGGGGTAGAAGTATGACAGGAGGTTCTTTCCAAGTTAAGCCAGAAAGGACAACCAAATATGACCAAAAGTACTTTTGGTTTTCTCCGTACATAGAAAACCCACAAAATAGTGAATCCTTTATTAGTTACACCCATCTAGTACCGAGTCGAACCCCCCTTTGCCTCCAGAACAGCCCACATTCTATAGGGCATGGAAACGTTGCTCAATTGGTATCAAGGGACCTAATGTGCTATATTAATATATAGTACCTGATGTTCCATAATGGGGTAGCTAGCTGTATTAATAGATAGTACCTGATGTTCCATAATGGGGTAGCTAGCTACTGTATATTAATAGATAGTACTGAGTGTGCTCTTCATGCTGTAATGCACCCAACACAAAGAGACAGGGGCTGCGTCCAAAAGGACACCCTATTCCCTAAAAAAGGACACCCTATTCCCTATATATATTATATTTTTGACCATACCCTAAGGGCCCCTAAGGGTCACCACATAGTGAATAGGAAGCCAGTTGGCATCAAGGAAGGGATGGAAGCGACGTATTTACAGCCTTTCAGAATATTGCATGATATCACTCACTGTCCCACTGTTCCAACTCAAGAGAGCAAATTAAATAATATATTTGTATTCCTGTAGAGACCTTCATGCATGTCTCATCACATCTGCATTAACTCATATCATACTATACTCCTCAAAGGGAATGTCTGAATGTTTTAGTATCCGCTGAGGAGGAAGAGGAGGACACTATGATCAACGTCTATACATCACACTCCCATTCCTAATGTATTATACAGCATGTTCATAACAACACACTCCCGTTCCTAATGTATTGTGCATTACATCACATACAGTAAGTACTCTCAACTGGCTCCTAATTTGTTTTATTGATTTTATTGAATGGGGATGACTATTGTAGGCTATCAATTGTTACATTGAACTGTGGGATTTATATGTAAATTATATGTCAGTGTTTACAGTTTCCTCCCAGTTATTTTTCCTTGATTGCTGTTTGTTCACATTGAATCCCAAAGGTGTGCTATAATGCAGTAGTCCATTGCAGCCTATTCATTTATTAAATTAGTGACAAACTAAATGCTTTTCTAAACTGAATATGGTTTTGAGCTGCATGGTATAATGTTGTTGTTGGTTTCTAAACTGAATATGGTTTTGAGCTGCATGGTATAATGTTGTTGTTGGTTTCTAAACTGAATATGGTTTTGAGCTGCATGGTATAATGTTGTTGTTGGTTTCTAAACTGAATATGAAGTTGAGCTGCATGGTATAATGTTGTTGTTGGTTTCTAAACTGAATATGGTTTTGAGCTGCATGGTATAATGTTGTTGTTGGTTTCTAAACTGAATATGGTTTTGAGCTGCATGGTATAATGTTGTTGTTGGTTTCTAAACTGAATATGTGTGATGGGTGATTTGAAGGAGTCAAGCGCAGGAGGGTAAATCACAGAATACAGAGTTTATTCCGGAATACAGAGTTACGCAGAAACGCATCAAACAGTCCAGTGCACACGGGGAAATATACCCCAGCAATACAAAATACACGGAGCTCAAATGAGCTACACTCTCCTCACAATAAACAATCACCCACAAGGACAAGGGGGCAGAGGGAACACTTATACACATACTAATGAGGTGTGTGTAATAGACAAGACAAAACAAATGGAATGATGAGATGAGGAGCGGCAGTGGCTAGAAGGCCGGTGACGACGAACGCCGAAGCCTGCCCGAACCAGGAGAGGTCCAGCAGCGCGCCGACACCGGCCTCGGGGATGGCCAGGAAGATGCGGAGCAGGGCGAGCCGGATGGCGATGGTGGAAATCCCTCAACAGAGAGGGATCAAGGACATCCCTCACCGGGACCCAGCACCGTTCCTCCGGACCGTACCCCTCCCACTCCAAGATGTACTGAAGGCCCCACACCCGACGCCTCGAATCCATGATGGAACGGACGGAGTACGCCGGGGCCCCCTCGATGTCCAGAGGAGGCGGAGGGACCTCCCGCACCTCAGACTCCTGCGGAGAGGCACATGGAACGAGGGGTTAATACGATAATTATGGGGAGTAATAACCTATAGGTAACCTCGTTTATCCTCCTCAGGACTTTGAATGGCCCCACAAACCGTGGGCTCAGCTTCCGGAAGGGCAGACAGAGGGGCAGAATCCGGGTCGAGAGCCAGACCCGATCACCCGGTACGAAGACCGGGGCCTCACTGTGGCGGCGGTCACCATTGGCCTTCTGACGACGCACAGCGCGTTGGAGGTGGACGTGAACAGCGTTCCACGTCTCCTCTGTGCGCCGAAACCAGTCATCCACCGCTGGAGCCTCGGTCTGGCTCTGGTGCCACGGTGCCAGAACCGGTTGGTAACCTGAAACACATTGGAATGGCATTTGGTTAGTGGAGGAGTGACGGGGAGAGTTCTGGGCATATTCGGCCCATGGCAAGAACACCGACCCCTCCCCCGGCCGGTCCTGGCAGTAGGACCGCAGGAACCTACCCAGATCCTGATTCACCCGTTCCACCTGCCCATTAGACTCGGGGTGGAACCCAGAGGTCAGGCTGACCGAGACCCCCAGACATTCCATGAACACCTTCCAGACCTTTGATGTTAACTGGGGACCCCGGTCAGACACTATGTCCTCTGGTACCCCGTAGTGCCGGAAGACGTGTGTAAACATTTCCTCCGAAGTCTGCAGGGCCGTGGGGAGACCGGGCAGAGGAAGGAGGCGGCAGGCTTTGGAAAAGCAGTCCACAACGACCAGGATGGTGGTGTTAACTTGAGAGAGGGGAAGATCAGTAAGGAAATCAATACTCAGGTGAGACCATGGCCATTGTGGAACTAGTAAAGGCTGTAATTTACCAGCTGGGAGGTGCCTAGGTGCCTTACTCTGGGCGCAGGCAGCGCACTGTACGACCGATACCTGGGTGACCAGAGGAGGGGGGCGTGTGTGCCCAGTAGATCAGACGGTCACGGACAAGAGCAGGCACTTACTGAAGCCCAGCTGGATAATGAGGTGGAGATGGCTCTGTGCGTAACACCTGCTCTATATCCGCGTCCATCACCCATACTACAGGCGCCACAATGCGGGAGGCTTGGAGTATGGGGGTGTTGTCTCTGGGCCTCTCCTCTGTGTCGTACAGCTGTGACAGTGCATCTGCCTTTACATTCTTCGCACCCGGGATGTACGATAGTGTGAAATCAAACAAGGTGAAGAATAGGGCCCACCTGGCCTGGCGAGGGTTCAGCCTCCTCGCTGCCTGGATGTACTCCAGGTTACGGTGGTCCGTCCAGACGAGGAAAGGGTGT